TCAAGGGAAAGTGAAAGGGAAAGGGAGAGGGAGAGGGAGAGGGAGAGGGGTCTTCCATCCACCGGTTCACTCCCCAGATGGCCACAACAGCTGGAGCTGAGGTGATCTGAAGCCCGGAGCCAGGAGCTTCTTCCAGGTCTCCCACGCAGGTACAGGGGCCCAAGGACTTGGGCCACCTTCTACTGCTTTCCCAGGCCACAGCAGAGAGCTGGATCAGAAGTGGAGCAGCCGGGACGAGAACCGGTGCCCACATGGGAAGCTGGCATGGCTTTACCCACTACGCACAGCGCCGCCCCCCCCCCCCGCTTCATCTTTTTAAAAGATTTATTTATTTGTTTGGTTGTTTTTTATTTGTTTATATGAAAGAGCAACAAAGAGTTCCCACCTTCTGCTTCACTCCCCAAATGTCCACAACAGCTGAGGCTGGCCCAGACCCCAGCTCCATCCACGCCTCCCACACATCTGCTGCCTTCCCAGGATGCATCAGCAGGAACTGGACGCCCGAGCGGAGCTTCACTCACAGCCCGCACAACCGCCCTACCGGCTGCTTTCAATCTGCACCGCAACTCAGCCGGAAGTCCCGTTCATCCTTTAAAAGTGGAGGCAGTACGCCAGGGACACTCAAAGCAGACCAAGTCCCTCCATCTGCCTCCAAAAGTCAGTTAAGGCGAAGTAAACTGTAACTCCCTGTTGACCCGAGACGGGGAGCAGAATGACACAGCAGGGCTGCAGGAGACAGCCAGCCTCCTGGGGAATTCTAAGGGAACCTGAGTCATTAGCAACTGCCACCACCTAACCCAGCTGAGCTCTCCTCAGCCCTTCCGGCCGCCTAGCCACTCTGACCGCGACCCCTTCCCCTTCCCCTGGCTCCCAAGGGCCTCTCCACACGGCTGGACGTCGGGACGCCACTGGCCTCTCACAGCAGGATACAGCCTCTCCAGTCCCGACCTCCAGCCCACCTGTGTCCGGACCCCTCCCAACCGCCGACTGGGCCGCCTGGGGTCCCACAAGCGCCTGGGATCTAAGGCATCCAAAACCAAACTTGCTTCCGTCCTGTTCCCATTGCCCGTCTTGGTGGGAAGTGAGCCGCGCAAGCCAGAGAGGAGGAAGCCGCTGGAGACGCAGGCCTTCAGCATGGATGAGGCGCGCGGCACTGCCGCTGAGCGGGCCGACAGAACCCGCCCTGCGGCCGCCACCAGGTGACGGTGTTTAGACAGAGGGAGGCTGGGGGGGTCGGGCGGGGCAGGTGCCCTGGAGGCCCCCGAGCCTGGGCACAAGAGGCGGCAGAGGAGGTGGGGTGCTGGGGGACACTGGGCAACCTCGGCGGAGGGCCGCGCCATCTGCCCGGGGTTCTCACGGGGCTGCTCGGCCTGCACCCCAGGGCAGGTCACTGTGACCCCTGCAATCCTCGCTAATCCGGCCGCCCCCACCCGGCTCCCGGGCCAGCTGCCCCCGCACAGCCGCTGGGCTCAGCCGCGGAGCGTCTCCCCACCACTGCCACGAGGAGTCGGGGTGCTGCCCAGGCCAGGCGGCCTGCTGCTGGTGGACACCGCCGCCGGGGGCTGCCCGTCGGCGCAGCACCTGCTCCGTCCAGCTTGCACAATCCTCACTGCCCGGCACCTGCTCTGTGGAGGCGCTGACCGCTTCCTCACCGCGAAGCGCCGGCCTGACACCCACCCACCCACTGAGGACGCTGCCAGCCTGCGCCACGCCTGCGTTTCATTCAGCTCTGCCCTGTCCTGCCTCGTCTATTCTCCAGCCCTCACGGAGAGTGACAGGGCCTTCCCTCTCCAGTGCGACGAAGCACCGCAAGAACGTAAAATCTGAACCGCAGCTTCTGTCGCCGGGCGCCCCTGCCCCTGGGGGCCCTCGGCCCTCGGCCCTGCAGGGGCTGCGGCCAGGCGCCCCGGCCTCCCCGCCCCGCCGGCTGCCAGGCGCGGCTGCACCGGGAGGCTGCGCTACCCACACCCACACCCACACCCACACCCAATTCCACACCACCCGAGACGCCGAGTCCGCGCGGCCGTGCATTCTCACAAGCCCCGGCCCTCCGCCCACCGGGCCGAGCGCTCCGCCTGTGCCTCCGGTGCCCGCACCTCAAAGGGCGTCGTCCTCCCAGCCCACCCGCCCGGACGCCGGCTCCGCCCGCTCTGCCGGTCCACACCGACGGCGGGGCCGGCTCCCCCGTCAGGCCCGCCGCGGCGCTCCGAGGGGCTGACAGCGCTCGCCGGGGCGGTGCCGGGCGGGCGGGGGCGGAAGGCAGCGCCGGCTCGGACAAAGCGCCGGCCGCGCCGCCCCCGCCCGCGGGCTCGGACCCCGCCGGGGATGCGGGGCGGGGCCGGGAGGCAGGGCCGGGGATGCGCGGCCGGCGCGCGGCGACCCGACCCTGCGGGGCCCCGGGCGCGGCCGGGCCGGGCCGGGCCGGGCCGGGCACTCACCGTCCCGCTCGCCGCCGTGCGCTCTCGCGCTGTCAGCTCGGGGAGCGGCCTCGGCCGCCTCAGGCGCGGGTCACGGGGAAGGGGCGCCGGCGCAGCGGCCGCCACGCATCCCCGGCCCGGCGCTGGGCTCTGCACCGCCGGCGCCGCCCGACGCCTCCCTCCTCGCAGCTTCGCCCCGGCCGCGCGCTCCGCCGCCGCCGCCGCCGCCGAAAATGGCGACTCCGCGTCGCGCCCGCCCACAATGCCGCGCGCCCGCGTGACGTCACTCGCGCCTCCCCGGGAGCGGCCGCGGGCGGGGGTCGGGGGCCGCGCGCCGGCTCCGTGCGCCCCCGAGCGCGCCCCGAGGCGCTCACGCCCCCCGGCGCGGACGCCGCCCCGCCCGCCCCCCGGGTGCGGGCCGGGCCCGCAGGGCGGTGCCCGCGGCCGCCGCATCCCCGCTGCGGCCTGACTCAGCAGCCGGCCGAGGGCGCCGCTGACTCAGGGGCCGGCGCGGGGCCGCGCCCTCGGCGCTGTGGTCGGCCCGCGCCCGAGCCGGTGCGGCCCCGCGCGCGGGGGTCACGGCGGCCGGGCGTCCCCCTGCTCGCGCCCTGCGCCCCGGCTCGGCACCCCCCGAGGACCCCCGGCGGCCCCGCACCGCTCCCTGGGTACCTCTGACCCATGCCAGTGCCCCCGCGGCTCCCTCCGTCACTGAGGGTTAGGGCGAGGCCACGCCGACGGGCAGCACCGGCAAGGTCCCCGGGCAGAGACAGTCCTCCGGCAGGAGGGACCCGGCGGCGCCGGGCAGGGGAGAGGCGGACGCGTCCGTGGCGCCCACCGCTCCCGCGTCCTGACTGCCGTCAGGTTCAGACTCCTCAGCTTGGCCTGCAGGGCCCCAGGACCGGGGCTGCCACCCTCCCCTGCCCCTGGGTTCGCTCCGCTGTCCATGCTATCCACTCTGCCTAAAATGCCCCTCTCCCCCAGCCACTCCGAGACTCAGCCACGAGGCACCTCCTCCAGGAAGCCTTCCCCGCCTGCACCAGCCTCCCGTGCTCTGTGTGGTCAGCCTAGGGCACTGGGGCAGGGAGGGCCTGCGTCCCCTCAGCCCCTGACCCGGCTCTCCTTGGCCTCACCCCTCCCCTCGCGGGGAATGAGGAAGGGTCGGTTCTCAGATCACCGTGCAGCCACAGGAGCCCCGTCGCCTCACGGCGTCGGGACTGCACACACAGTCACCACCCGTCGGGTCTGCAGCCGGGTTACAGCAGACCGTCAGCTCCGCCAGTCCTGCTGGCAAAGGTTTTCCCCAGCCTGCACGGGGAAGGGGCGTGGGAGGCAAGTGCACGGTCCCTTCTCAAAGGTACCGCATCCAGGCAGGGCAGGCTCCCCGCAGATCCTGGGCCGGCCGGGCTCTCGGTCCGCGTCCGCCCCAGGGGGTGCTGGCTGCTGCTTGAGGCCAGGCTGGTGCTGCACAGTATCTCTGACGCTGACCCATCCCTCGGACAGCAGGTGCGGCCACACCCGCTCACACACAGCAGGCGCGGCCACACCCGCAGGGCTCACACACGAGACGGGTGTTAGCGCGGCAAGGCTGGCTCCTGGCGGGGACAGGGGCTGACCTGGGACAGCAAACGGCCGGCTTCTGAGACAGGAGAAACCCAGAGGGCGGGAGACGGCTGGGAAGGGCGTGGGCCGTGAACCTGTGGGTGCTCGGCCAATGAGAGGGGAGGGCGGGACTTGTGCACCAGGTGTGTGTGAACCTGTGGGTGCTCGGCCAATGAGGAGAGGGGGGAGGGACTTGTGCACCAGGTGTGTGTGAACCTGTGAGTCCTCGGCCAATGAGGTGAGGGGGGAGGGACTTGTGCATCAGGGTGTGTGAACTTTTCAATCCTCGGCCAGTGAGGAGAGGGGGGAGGGACTTGTGTGCAGGTGTGTGTGCCTCGTTCCCTGTTCTGAGTGTGCTGCCCCCAGACACCCGCCCTTGCCAGGCTGTGAACAGAGCCTGGCTTTTCTCTGACCTGTGTGTCAGAGTCCATCCTTCCGGGCAGGGTGGTCTCTGGTGGGCTTATTTCCCACCCCCGTGAGTCTGATTTCCGTCAAGATCCTCAGGAGTTCTGCTCAGCCCTGGAGCCATCAGCAGGCAGCCTGGGCCCCCGGGGCGCTGCCCTGGATCAAAATGTGGGTGCTGTGCCCCACGCCCTGAGCACCCGGCAGCTCCAGCGGGGACCTCAGGAAGCCCACCTGGCGGCGGCACCAGGGCGCGGCGGTCTCCAGGTCATCCTGCCCTAGGGTTTCACTCCGAGATGCTGAGTCCCCTCTGGTCCTGTGCTGCCCACACCTGTCCCTGACTGACGTTTCCTTGCTGGCCCTGGAGAGGCACTGTCACGCAGGCTGGAGTGGAGGGAGCCCCTCCGTGCCTCCTGTGCGGGTGCTACCTCAGCCAGGGCCCAGGTCCGAGAGGCCTCCGCCTTTGTCGGGGGGACCTAGAGAGCAGGACCCCGGGGCTCCCCGGGTGGAACCTGAATCACCTGTTCATTCAAGTGCCAACGGCACTGAGCAGCCCTGCGGCCAGCAGAGAGCTGGACAAGCAGCCAGGGTCCAGGGACCCTTTGCCAGATGGAAGAGCACTTCCAAGGGAGCCGGGAGAGAGCTGCTCCCCGCTCGGCTGTCGCTGTAGGAGCCCCTGGTCCTGCCGTGCAGGGCAGGCCCTGACCCGGGTCCCTCGCCCTCCTCGCCGGCTGTTTCTCCTTTTTCCTTTCCCAAATGGACATACTTTGTCCTCTGCACTCACCGACGTCCAAACCCTTCCCACCTCCGACCCTTCCCTGCCCCACTCAGCATCCTGGGGAGATGGGCAGGCAGCCTGGGACGCTAAGCAGAGCCTGGGCTGGAGTCACAGATCCGGGCGCAGCGACAGGGCCCAGGGGGAGCCAGGGTCCCGATCCCCGCCCAAGCCGGAGTGAAAAGGTCCCGTGGCAGTTTCCCACCTCCTGCTGCTCCCTCAGAGAGCGCCAGGAGCCTGCGCTGGCACATGGGCAGTGGGGGAACAAGGGGCCCCAGGCAGGGGAGCTGACAGCCTCGGAGCTGCAGCAGGGGCTGGGAGATGGGGGATGCCTGTGTCCCTCGGGGAGCCCAGGAAAGAGGGGCGGGAAGGACCCCACAAGTGGACGAACAACACAGGGCCCCAAATGGAAGAGGAAGTGACTTGTTTGTTTTTGACAGGCAGAGTGGACAGTGAGAGAGAGAGAGACAGAGAGAAAGGTCTTCCTTTGCCGTTGGTTCACCTTCCAATGGCCGCCGCGGCCGGCGCGCCGCGCTGATCCGATGGCAGGAGCCAGGTGCTTCTCCTGGTCCCCCAGGGGGTGCAGGGCCCAAGCACTTGGCATCCTCCACTGCACTCCCGGGCCACAGCAGAGAGCTGGCCTGGAAGAGGGGCAACCGGGACAGAATCCAGCGCCCCGACTGGGACTAGAACCTGGTGTGCTGGCGCCGCAAGGCGGAAGATTAGCCTAGTGAGCCGCGGTGCCAGCTTGACTTTTTTTTTTTTTTTTTTTTAAGATTTATCCATTTATTTTGAAAGAGTTCCAGAAAAAGAGGGAGGTCTTCCCCATGCTGGTTCACTCCCCAGATGCTGCAGCTGCCCGGGCTGTGCCAGACGCTTCCTCCGGCTCCCACGTGGATGCAGGGCCCAAGTCATCTTCCCCCGCTTTTCCCAGGGAGCTGGGGCCGATACAGGACGTCGGTGTCACAGGCGGTGGCTCAGCCCCACTGTGCACAACCCCTGGAAGTGACTTCTTGTCATGTGAATTCTCTGGGGGGTGGGGGCAGGCTTCGTCCTAGACTCTGAGGGTCTAAGCTCAGTCCACAGATGCCGGTGAGGGGCGTTGGATATGGGGGGGTCTGGGGGGGCTGTCCTTGAGTCACAGGCCCAGGCTCTGCCCCTCCCAGCCCAGGCAGCCGTCTGCGTGAGGCTTGGGGACGAGTCACTGGGTGTGCCCGGGCTCGGCTTCCGGACCCAGGGCTAATCTGGGCTGGGTCCTGCCGGCTCTGGCCCGCGGTCACACCCTGTCTGCTGTCAGACTAATTCTAGAAATGGAGTCCACCCGATCTCCAGGGAGCTTTTCCTTCAAAGAGAGGGATGCGCTGTGGAGAGCTCCAGGAGCCGCTGCCCAGACAGCGGGAGCAGCGGCACGTGGGGGCTCGAGTGAAGCCCACCCTCTGCGTCCCCGTCCCTCGCGCGTGCTCTGCTGTCCCGGCCGTGGGGGGACTCCACCCAGCTCCCCAAGAAAGCAGCATGGGATTCTCGCAAGACCACCAGGGACCCTGTGTCCCACACCCCCACAGACCCCACGGGACGCCTCGGTGTGGCGGCTGGTCCCCTCCCAAGGCCCCGTGACCCAACCCCGAGCAGTCACATGCTGACTGTCCCTGTCACGCTGATGCCAGGCTGGCCTCTCTCCAAACACAGCATCCCAGGCCCTGCAGCACCCTGGGGAGCCCACCCGCAGTGTCTGGGGCGACGACGGGGCAGAGGTGGGCCTGGCTGGGTGCGCCACCTGTCTGTCCGTCACACTCCACCTGAGCCCAGACCTGCCTCTGGGCTCAGCCAGATGCTGGGGGTGGGGCCGTGTTCCGGGAGGACGTCTATCCAGCATCAGGAGGCATCCCAGAGGGGGAGTGGACTTGCCCACGCTACGTGGCACGGAGTCGATGTATTCTGCGTGGTTATCTCAAGAGGAGGATGTTGGGCACTGGGAGAGGGGCGTCCCTGGAAGCCACCCAGGAACGCTGAGGCCCCACACATTCCCGTTCACAGAGGCAGTGAGCAAAGTGTGCAGGGAGCACCCACGGCCCGCCGCAGAGACGGCCGAGCCGCCCTCCTGGCTGGCCGCGCTCCCCTGCCCGCCCCCACCCCTCTGCCTCGCTCTTGGGTGCGTTTCACAGTAGGGTGCAGCGGCACCCATTTCAGAGAGCCGGTCCCGGTGCCAGACGCGTCCTGGCCGTGCCGCCTCCCGTGCAGCCCCCCCCTGATGCACTGGGAGGCAGCGGGAGCCGCCCCAGTGCTGGGCCCCCTGCACCCACGTGGGAGACTCGGCTGGAGCCCCTTCTCGGGCTCAGGCCTTCCCCGCCCGGCTGCTTCAGCCACCTGGGGAGAGGTCTCTTCACGCTGTTCTCTCACCCCTGCCATCTGCTTTTCAAATAAATAAACCTTAAAATAATGATGATAAGAGTACTACGTTGCAAACCTCAGTAGAATTTACCCAGAAGGCTTCAGCATTCATAGCATCAGCAGGCTCAGTGTTTGTCTTAGGGGACGTTCGCAACAGGGAAGTGCACACCTTAGGGGCACACTGGGAGAGGGTCTGTTTTATGCTACAGCCACCTTTACTTCAGAGACTGCCTGCTTTTTTCACTAAGAGTTTGGGTGTTGGGCCGGCGCCGTGGCTCACTAGACTAATCCTCTGCCTGCGGCACTGGCACACCGGGTTCTAGTCCCGGTCGGGGCGCCGGATTCTGTCCCGGTTGCCCCTCTTCCAGGCCAGCTCTCTGCTGTGGCCCGGGAGTGCAGTGGAGGATGGCCCAAGTGCTTGGGCCCTGCACTCTATGGGAGACCAGGAGAAGCACCTGACTCCTGCCTTCGGATCAGCGCGGTGCGCCGGCCACAGCGGCCACTGTGGGGTGAACCGACGGCAAAAGGAAGACCTTTCTCTCTCTCTCACTGTCCACTCTGCCTGTCCAAAAAAAAAAAAAAAAAAGGAGTTTGGGTGTTTGTTTGTTTGTTTGTTCTGCCATTTTAGTTTTATGGAAAAGCAGGCCAACAGTGGATGCAACTCTGGGGCCAGAGCCCACAGCCGCCTGCACGCCAGGCATCAATCCCAGGGGCTGACACAGCTCCAGGGAGCCGAGGAGGTCTGAGGAATCTCAGAATCCCAGCAACTGTGGGACGCTCCCACCCCAGGGCACAGCTGCCCGCCGCGGCCCCGCCAACCACGGCCCGGAAACCACTGCGCTGCTTTCTGTCTCTTTCTGTCTAACCGTAGACCAGATCTGCCTGTTCCAGCACTGTGTTAGTGGGCTTTGTGTCGGGGTCCTTCACTCAGCCCTCTTCTATTCTTCATTCATTTGTTTATGTGGAAGACGGGGTGGGGGGAGAAAGAGAGAGAGAGAGAGAGAGAGAGAGAATATCTTCCACCTGTTGGTTTACTCTCCAAACGGCACAACAGCGAGGACTGGGCCAGCCAAAGCCAGGAGCCGGGAGCTCCATCCAGGCCTCCCACGTGGGTGCAGGCCCGGAGCACTGGGGCATCCTCTGCTGCCTTCCCAGGCGCACCGGCAGGAGCTGGGACTTGAGCCGCACTTGGGTCTGTGATGCTGGCGTCAGAAGCAGCAGCTTAGCCCTGCACAACTCCGGCCCGCCTCTTTCTGGCATCCATCCATGCTGCCCTGCGTCTGGCCGCCGACTGTCGACAGGAGCCTGCGCTGCTTTAACTGTGGTCGATATGAATGTGCACCTGAGCTTTCTTACACCAGTCTTCTTAGGAACATACTTTTTAATTTGTCTTGAGTAAATACCTAGGAATAGAATTTCTGGATCCTACTTTGTATGTTTAGCTTTATAATAAACATCCAAGGGCCGGGGTGTGGTGTAGCAGGTAAAGCCGCTGCCTGCAGTGCCGGCATCCCACATGGGCACAGGTTCAAGACCCAGCTGCTCCACTTCCAATCCAGCTCTCTGCTATGGTCTGGGAAAGCAGCAGAAGATGACTCAAGTCCTTGGGCCCTTGCACCCATGTGGGAGACCTGGAAGAAGCTCCTGGCTCCTGGGTTCTGATTGGCCCAGCTCCGGCCATTGCAGCCATCTGGGGAGTGAACCAGCAGATGGAAGACCCCTCTCCCTCTGCGCCTTTCAAATAAATAAATAAATAAATGTTAAAAACAAACAAACGGCCGGCGCCGTGGCTCACTAGGCTAATCCTCCGCCTTGCGGCGCCGGCACACCGCGTTCTAGTCCTGGTCGGGGCGCCGGATTCTGTCCCGGTTGCCCCTCTTCCAGGCCAGCTCTCTGCTGTGGCCCGGGAGTGCAGTGGAGGATGGCCCGAGTGCTTGGGCCCTGCACCCCATGGGAGACCAGGAGAAGCACCTGGCTCCTGCCTTTGGATCAGCGCGGTGCGCCGGCCGTGGCGGCCATTGGAGGGTGAACCAACGACAAAAAGGAAGACCTTTCTCTCTGTCTCTCTCCCTCTCTCTCACTGTCCACTCTGCCTGTTAAAAAACAAACAAAAAAACAAAAAACAAACAAACATCCAGGGGCCATGCTGGTCTCAGCAGTGAAGATGCCGCCCCCGCTGGAGTGCCCGGGTCCAGTCCTGGCTCCTACACTTCCCCCCCAGCGTCCCCCAACTCCCAGCCTGGGAGGCAGCCGGTGCAGGCTCAGGAGCTGGGCCCTGCCCCCCATGTGGGAGATCCAGACTGAATTCCAGGCTCTGGCTATTGTGGGCACTCGGGCAGTGACTCAGCAGATGAGAGTCTGTTTCTCTCTCTGCCTTTCACATATAATCAAAGTAAATAGCAGTTTAATAAAACACGTGATACAGAACCAGTTTGAAGGGAAAAGGAACGCTTGGACCTTTCCCCTAAGGGCCTGACGCCTCTGCCCGGCCTGGGTGCCCGCCCTCACAGCCCCTCGTGCACCTGCGCTGGGTGCCCGCCCTCACAGCCCCTCACTCTGCTGTGCTGGGTGCCCGCCCTCACAGCCCCTCGTGTGCCTGCTCTGGGTGCCCGCCCTCACAGCCCCTCGTGTGCCTGCGCTGGGTGCCCGCCCTCACAGCCCCTCGTGTGCCTGCTCTGGGTGCCCGCCCTCACAGCCCCTCGTGCACCTGCGCTGGGTGCCCGCCCTCACCAGCCCCTCACTCTGCTGTGCTGGGTGCCCGCCCTCACAGCCCCTCACTCTGCTGTGCTGGGTGCCCGCCCTCACAGCCCCTCGTGTGCCTGCGCTGGGTGCCCGCCCTCACAGCCCCTCACTCTGCTGTGCTGGGTGCCCGCCCTCACAGCCCCTCGTGTGCCTGCGCTGGGTGCCCGCCCTCACAGCCCCTCACTCTGCTGTGCTGGGTGCCCGCCCTCACCAGCCCCTCGCTCTGCACCTGCGCTGGGTGCCCGCCCTCACCAGCCCCTCGCTCTGCACCTGCGCTGGGTCTGCGTTTCCCTCTCCACTAAGCTGCTGATCTCTGCAGGCACTTATTGCCCATTTCCATTAGTTGTTGTTGTTGTTTTAAGATTATTTATTTATTGAAAGGCAGAATGACAGAGAGGGAGCTTCCATTTGCTGATTCACTTTCCGAACAGCCACAGCCAGGATGCAGACTGCATGCTGGTCTCCCAGGCGGGCGGCAGGGGCCAGTTCTTGGGCCGTCTGCACCTTCCCGGGAGGGCGGCACTGGAAGAGGGCGGCGGGAGACACGGGCGCTGGAGCTGCAAGCCGTGGCTTAACCCGCGGCCCGCCGTGCGCACCCTGGCCATCTCCACTGTCCTGTGAAACGCCTGCTCAGTCAGCTCCCTCGTGCTGGGTCGTCCTGCTGGGATGCAGCCGTGGAGTCGTGTTTTGTACTTTTTTTTTTTTCTGACAGGCAGAGTGGACAGTGAGAGAGAGAGAGACTGAGAGAAAGGTCTTCCTTTGCCGTTGGTTCACCCTCCAATGGCCACTGCTGCCGGCGTGCCACGCCAATCCAAAGGCAGAGCCAGGTGCTTCTCCTGGTCTCCCATGGGGTGCAGGGCCCAAGCACCTGGGCCATCCTCCACTGCACTCCCTGGCCACAGCAGAGAGCTGGACTGGAAGAGGGGCAACCGGGACAGAATCTGGTGCCCCGACCAGGACTAGAACCCGGTGTGCCGGCGCCGCAAGGCGGAGGATTAGCCTAGTGAGCCGCGGCGCCGGCACGTGTTTTGTACTGTTTTCACCATCTGTGCTTTCCTAGTTGTTTTTCCGTTACATTGTGGTAAAATACACTCACTGAACTTAGCATTTTAGCATTTAACACGTATTTGGAGAGGGCTGGCGCTGTGGCGTAGCAGGCTGTCTCCACCTGTGAGGCCAACACCCCCTGTGGGTGCTACTCCATGTCTGCTTCCGCTCCCTGCAATGCAGCTGGGAAAGCAGCACAGGTGGTCCAAGTGCTCAGCCCCTGCACCCACGTGGGAGACCCCGAAGAAGCTCCTGGCTCCAGCCTGGTCCTGCCCCAATGTTGCAGCCGTTTGAGGAGAGAACCAGCAGATGGAAAATCTGTCTCTCCTTCTCTCTCTGCAACTCTGCCTTCCAAATAAATAAAAATAAATCTTAAAAAAAGAGAGGTCTTCATCCGCTGGCTCACTCCCCAGACGCCCATGATGGCTGGAGCCTGGACCTGGAGCTCGGTCTGGTCTCCCACGAGGCTGGCAGGGCCCAAGCGCTTGAGTCAGCCTCCCAGGGTGCACCTCAGCAGGAGGCTGGGCCGGACCAGGACTGGGACCGCACACTGCAGTGTGGATGTGGGTGTCCCCAGGGCGTCCTCACCCCTGCACCCAGTGCCCACCCCTCCTCTCCCTCCTAGCCAAGACCACCACGGAGGCTCCCCATGCTCCTCTCACACAGCAGAGTGGGGTGCTGGGGACCAACTATGTGCGTCCTCACACGGTGGGACCGAGCGGGAGCCAGGGGCTGACCCCAGCTCCCACAGGGGACTCGGGCGCCCTGAGGAGACGCCCACCCCTTGTCCTGCTTGTCCAGCGGTCCCCACGAGCACCGTCCCGGTGACGCGCGCCTTGCCGAGGGGCGTGAAGCCACCAACTGCTGCTTTCCCTGCGGGCCCAGGCACGGCCCCAGGGCCACTGCTCCTGACAGCTTCACGGAGACCGGAGACGCCCACCCCTTGTCCTGCTTGTCCAGCGGTCCCCACGAGCACCGTCCCGGTGACGCCCGCCTTGCCGAGGGGCGTGAAGCCACCCACAACTGCTGCTCTCCCTGCGGGCCCGGGCACGGCCCCAGGGCCACTGCTCCTGACAGCTTCACGGAGACCACTGGCCCTCCCCTTGACCACAGACCCGCGTCTGCTTGTCGCTCACCTGACTCCAGAGATGGTGTCCTTGGCCTCAAGGACGAGAGCCTCGAGTTTGCCTGTCCTGCCCTAGCGTGCGCGGCTGCTGCCCGCTGGACGGCACCTTCCTGTCGGACGGCCGGCAGCTGGCGTGCAGGCAGACCACGCACTGCGCCTGCCTGGCACTGGGGACGCCGTGGGCCCCGGGTCTGGGGCCTTCCCAGCTGCAGGGAGCGGGCGGTCTGTCCCCGGGGGTCTCTGTCCTCTGACCCAGGCAGACCACGCACGGTGCCTGCCTGGCACTGGGGACGCCGTGGGCCCCGGGTCTGGGGCCTTCCCAGCTGCAGGGAGCGGGCGGTCTGTCCCCGGGGGTCTCTGTCCTCCGACCCTGGCTGCCCCCACCAGAGCTGGCACTGAGTCAGCTTCTCTCGCGTGAGGCCTCCGGAATCCGACGCAGGAGCCGGGGGTCTGGAAGAGGCCGGGTAAGAGGAGCACAGCGTGGTCAGACCGGGTCTCCGTACCACGCAAATACTGGTGCCTGGTCCCCAGGCCGGCTGCGGGCGGACTCTGCTCAGTAACTGAGCCATCTGCGCCAGGCAGACACCCCCGGGACACAGCGACCTTGACCCCAGAGCATCTCAGAAGCCAGTGGTCGGCCGCAGGCCCCTGGCTGCACAGCACTGCCCACGGCTTGCCTGCGCCCACCAGCAGCGTCTCCGGCACGTGCCTCAGGGGCCACTCTCCTGAGCCGCAAAGCTCTCAATCCTCGCCCCTGCTGACTGTGAAGTCACTGCAGACGCGGAGGGAGCCGGTGAGCGGGAGGGGCACTGCCTAGCGGCTGGAAAGCCACCCCCTGCACTGGGGTGCCTGGGTTCGATTCCCGGCTCCAGCTCCAAGTACACAGGTTCCTACCAGCCACCCCGTGGGAGACCTGGTGGACTTCCTAGCTCCGGCGTCGGCCTGGCCTAGCCCGCCCGGCAGCACTGTCTGCCCTGAACTTGGGCCCCGCACGTGACTGAAGAAGGACCACGCAGGGCAGATCAGCAGCCCTAACCACGGAGGCGGGGGCTGCTGCAGATGGCCGTGAGGAGCTGCCGGGGCGCCCCGGTCACACCCCAGGCTGCCGCCGAAGGTTCTGCTCCCACCTGCCTGTCCCCACAGGACAGTAAAAGCCCCGTGGGAAGACCTGGCGGCAGCACCGCAGCCACGGAGCGCTCTGCCTCGCCTGTCACCGCAAGGTGACCGATGACTGCCAGGCAGCCGGCAAGATCCACGGCAGCATCCGCTCCCCCCAGGAGAGGCGGCGTGTCCCCTGCAGGCCGACTCGCGGGACAGGCACAGCCTCCGTCCCACGCAGCACGGAAACGATGGCCTGGCGGGAAGTCGGTGCACCAGGAGGGGCTGCCCGAGTCAGGCTCTGACAGGAGCTGCGGCGTCACGGGACAACTGCGCTCTGGGGTCAGGCCCAGGCCAGGGAACAGGGCAGTGTGGCAGCCGGCTTCCCAATCATCCATTGACAGAGGCAAGGTTTCAAGTAAAACTTTATTAGTATTTGTATATTATTCCATTTTGATCTGATAGAATTCAAACAGAGAAAACCTGCACATATTACTTGGGCTTCACAGCACGGCAGGACGAGATCCAGAGACAGGAGGGAGCCAGGTGGCCCCGAGACGCGGGCCGAGGGCTCCCCGGGAAGCCGTGGGACCCGGGTCACATACAGTTTTTAGGCTCACAAAATGAGCTCCTGCTGCCGTCCACTCCCCACGGACACCGGCCACTGCGGGTCAGCCCGGGTCTGGGTGGGCTCCTAAGTGCTCGTCTTCCGTCTCCGTCTCAGCACGTCCCAGATGCGCTGCAGGGCCACTCTGCCCATGAGGAAGGTGATGGCCAAGTTACGTCTGTACCAGTCTCTGCAGAGGAGCAGAAGCACCGAGTCGCAGCCCGGCGCCGCAGGAAAGGTGCGCCGACTGGCCCCCAGCCTCCTCACCGCTGCCCCGGCCCCTCCCTTCTGACTGGGCTGAGTCAGGCCAGGCTCAGGCCCCTGCCGTGTGCCCCACGCTCCCCCACCTTCTGCTCAGTGCTAAGTCTCTGCGGCATCTGGAGACCCACTGTGGGGACGGGGTGGGGGCAGGGGATGGGGTGGGGGTGGTCTCAGGAGCAAACATGGGGGGAAGTGGTCCTGGCTTTGGCACTTCATCTGCACACAAAGCACCGAGCACCCACTGGGAGAATCGGCTCCACCTCCCCTCTCCGGGGCAGCCGCTTGGGACCCGCATCCCGCATCCCGTGTCAGAGTGCCTGGGTGACAGGGCCGGCTGCTCCGCTCCCGATCCTGCTCCCTGCTAATGCACCTGGGGAAGCAGTGGAGGACGGCCCAAGTGCTGGGGCCCCTGCACCCACGTGGGAGACCGGGAAGAAGCTCCTGGCTGCTGGATTTGGATTGGCCCAGCTCTGGCCATTGCAGCCATTTGGGGAGTGAACCAGCCGATGGAAGACCTCTCTCTCCCTATCTGTCCCTCTCTATATAACTGCCTTTCAAATAAACAAAATAAGAAGAAAAAAAAAAAAAAGGAAGAAAAGAACGAACCACAGAACCCAGATGTTTCAACAGGAGCTCCATCCCGGTCTCCCAGTGAGTGGCAGGGCCCAAGGGCCTGGGCGTCCTCTACAGTCTATCCTGCACATTATCAGGAAGCTGGATCAGAAGTGCAGCAGGGGCCGGTGCTGTGGTGTAGCGGGCAAAGCCGCCGCCTGCAGTGCCCACGTCCCACGTGGGCGCCGGTTCCGGTCTTGGCTGCTCCACTACCGATCCAGCTCTCTGCACCGTGTGGGAGGCCCAGAAGCTCCTGGCTCCTGGCTTCAGATCGGCGCAGCTCCAGCCCGCTGCAGCCACTTGGGGAGTGAACCAGCGGATGGAAAACCTCTCTGCCTCTGCCCCTCTGTAGCTCTGCCTGTGAAATAAATAAATAAATATATATATATATATAAAGAAGAAGAAGAAGAGGAGCAGCAGCTGGGACTCGAATCAGCACCGAGATACAGGATGCAGCGTCAAAGATGGCAGCCTGACCTGCTGCACCACGACGCTGCCCCATCACTGCCAGATTGTAAAGCAACTCTCAAACCTGATTTCTTGTCATTTGACCTGGAAATAGACGGGCCTTCACGAAATTCATGAAAAATGCAAATCGTGAAGGAACTATGCAGGCACTTGAAAATTTTTTTTGCACCAGAATAATAAACATCATCTAATTTCATTTTCCACAAACTTTTTGAAGTCAAGTTGTACAGGTCGTCATGTATTTGTAACTAGTTTAAAAGCTCTTGAGGGGCCGGCGCCACGGCTCACTAGGCTAATCCTCCGCCTTGCGGTGCCGGCACACCGGGTTCTAGTCCAGGTCGGGGCACCGGATTGTGTCCCAGTTGCCCCTCTTCCAGGCCAGCTCTCTGCTGTGGCCCGGGAGTGCAGTGGAGGATGGCCCAGGTGCTTGGGTCCTGCACCCCATGGGAGACCAAGATAAGTACCTGGCTCCTGCCATCGGATCAGCGCGGTGCGCCGGCCGTGGCGGCCATTGGAGGGTGAACCAACGGCAAAGGAAGACCTTTCTCTCTGTCTCTCTCTCTCGCTGTCCACTCTGCCTGTCAAAAAAAGAAAAAAAAAAAAAAAAAAAAAGCTCTTGAGGGGCTGGTGTTGTGGCATAGCAGGTAAAGCCTCTGTCTGCAGTGCCAGCATCCCAGAGGGTGCTTGTTCGAGACCCGGCTGCTCCACTTCTGCTCCAGCTCTCTGCCATGGCCTGGGAAAGCAGCAGCAGATGGCCAGAGTCCTTGGGCCCCTGATCCACGCTGGGGACCCAGACGAGGCTCCTGCTCCTGGCTGGCCCAGCCCTGGATGTTGTGGTCATTTGGGAAGTGAATGAGCAGATGGAAGATCTCTGCCTCTCTCTTTTTCTTTTTTCAAGAAAAAAAAAAAAAAAGCTTTTGGAAAACCCGACACAATCCCAACACCGTCGCGGCATCTGATGAAACAAACGACGGAGCAGCGAAGAAACGCGTTTGTAGAACATCAACACTGGGCTCGGCGGTGCGTCTCCCGTATTTCCTGAGCACTGCACTGGGTCTGGAGGCCTAACTGGACTGACACTTCATTTTCTGCAGGCAACTCTTGGGTGGTGGGAGGTGCTTCTGCCCAGGTCACCAGAGGCTGCCCAGTCTGTGCGGCGTGGGGGTGCCAGGGGCCAGCCTGCCTGCCAAGGTCGCGTATCAACAGCTGTGGACGGTGTTTGCCTGGATGCACCTGCCTCATCTGGCTGCCTCGACACGGTGGGCCCAAGGGGAAGCCTGCACACCCCGCACACGCCCCGCAGTCTCCACCAGCTCTCAGCCGGTGAGTGAGTGGCCGGTGAGCAAGTCGGCAGCAGCGCGTGGCAGATGCGCTCGCACCTCGGTTCTTCTCCACCCGCAGCGGCCGCCCTCCTCGTGAGCCTGGCCACGGGGCCCAGCGCCACTCGGACGCGAGCCCTGCTCCTGCGCTTCCAGCCCAGAGCGGGTCTCCTCTGAGGAAGAGCCCCGTCCGGAGTTCAGGGCCCACTCCCCAAGCGCCGCTACGCAGGTGCCACAAGCATCCCCAAGCTGCCGATTTTACTTAGGAGTGCAAAACAAGCTAGGGTCATGCAACCTCTACTCTGACAGAAGCATGAATGTCGTCAAGGGCAGGAGTGGGGACGTGCCGTTCAAACGTCCAGGGAAAAGGGAATCCGCACCTGTTGTAATGCATGTGCTTCTGGAAACTCTTCCTCAGAAATTCCTTGTAGAAGTCGGCCATTTCCTCTGCACTCAGCGTCGCCTTCGGACCTGCAAGCCAGGAACTCAAAGGGTCAACCGAAGGGAAGCGGCCGCTGCAAGGGCGGGCACTGCCCGGCTCCGCAGGACAGGGCAGGCCCCTCAGCCTCCCCTCGGCACGCCAGCAGTGAACTCTGAACCGAGCTCGGGACCACCCTGAGGCAGGCACCGTGTGCAGGCGAGGCCGCTGCCTGGGCGCCCGGACCCCACGCCGGAGCCTCTGCTTCCAGCCCAGGTCCCTGCTGACGCGGCCTTGGGAGGCGGGGATGGTGGCTCAAGCACTGGATTCCTGGTACCCGGGGGAGACCGGATGAAGTTCCTGGCTCCCGACTCGGCATGGACCAGCCTTGGCTAAGGCAGGCGTTTGGGGAGTGACCCTAGATGGAAGATAACTGTCTGTCTCTCTGTCACTTTGCCTTTCAAATAAATAAACAAATCCTTAGAAAAGAAAACAGCTCCACTCACTGTAGCATCAGGGATGGGCAGCACTGGCCACAGGGCAGGAGGCCCAGGCAGAGGCGCTCACTGGGGCTGTGCTGTCGGAGCCGCGCAGGCGCAGGCGCAGGTGGGCAGGGCGGCCCCCACCTGACCCCTCCCTTGCCGTAAGCGGCCAGGATGGACGGGTCCTCCTCACCCAAACTCGCCCACACCAAGGCCCACGCCGAGGAGAAGCACCGTGGACGCTTGCTGACCGTTCACAGCGCACAGCTGCCAGTGCTTACGAGCAGGCCCCAGCCACACCCGCACTGAGAACCAGCCACGTCCACCCCACGGACGCCGTCCTCTCCCCCGAGCGCAACACTGGGGGAAGACCTCCCCACAGAACTGCCCCGGGGACGTCTCCCAGTGAACACGCGCGGAGCGGGTGGGCCCCTAGGAGTATGGAGTGCGGAGACCCTTCCCCTCCGCGACTGCGGACAATGTAGCAAGGGCGACCCCACCGCCTCCTGGCTGCCGCACCCAGAGGTTCCTGTCAATAAAACTTCCGCTTTGCTCAATAAAAAAAAAAAAAAGCCACAGAAAGCGCAGCAAGGCGCACCAGCAGAGCGCTGCTCATTCCCCGTGACAACACCCCCTCAGCTCACGCTCCCCTTCCTGCTTCCTGGCACGCGCTGTGGAGATAAACCTGGAAAACCATCAAGAGAACCCACCAGCCCAGGCCTCGTCACCAACACCTTCCCCCATGAACCTGGTGAGTGTAGACTGAGGTCTTGTTGCTTAAGAAGCAAGCAGAATTTATTTTTATTTTTTTAAAGATTTATTTATTTGAAAATCAGAGTTACAGAGAAAGAGGGAGAGGTCTTCCAGCCGCTGGTTCACTCCCCAGATGGCCACAACAGCTGGAGCTGAGCCGATCTGAAGCCAGGAGCCAGGAGCCTCTTCAAGGTCTCCCACGAGGATGCAGGGGCCCAAGGACTTGGGCCATCTTCTACTGCTTTCCCAGGCCACAGCAGAGAGCTGGATCAGAAGTGGAGCTATCGAACCAGTGCCCACATGGGACGCTGGCACTGCATTTACCCACTACGCCACAGTGCCGGCCCCAGCATGCAGAATTTACAATCGGAGCAACCTCGTCTTCTTGTACCAGGCACCAGTCCCCGGTGTGCTCGTGCCGTGCGTCTGCAGCGGCTCTTCCTCCAGTCCCACGGCCCGTGTAATCTCTGCCACGGGCACTCGCCACCCACCACTCGGGGCTAACTGGACGTCTCTCCTGGATGCTGACGCCGGCTGTGCAGCCCCTGGGCTCCTCCCTGCCGAGGGGCCCCGCACCTGCAGCTGCCCCCACCCCAGCTCCCGCCTGGACTCAGCCCCAGCCGCCCTGGGTCCCAGCGCTCCGTCCAGGAAGCAAGGCTCTGGACGGGGGTTCCCGCGTCTGTGCCGGGGCCTGCGGGCCGCGCGCAGAGAGCGGCCGCTCCCCAGACAACGCCGGGCTGGTTTTGCTCTCCCTCTTCGTGGGCTGACTCCTGCCCATTTGGAACCCGTCTGTACTGCAGAGGGCGCGACGGAAATCCAGTCTCCCAGCCACGAGTAACCGGCAGGTAGATGCTCTGTATTCACTGAGAACACGGGCGTCCTGAGGGCTACCCACGTCGTGAGTGGCTCGGCAGCCTAGCAGACCAGCTCAGGTACCACACGCACCATTGCGGCAGTGCTGAGGGACCACAGCCTCCACGCTGCCAGGACACAAGCCCCTCCCCACCACCTCCTGTGTAAACAGCCCTCAGGGCACCTGCCTTCCTCTAAACACAGCCCCTCTCTCTCTCTCAACAGTTTGAGGCCCAGCCGCCTCCAATCCAGCTCCCTGCTAACGCGCCTGGGAAAGCAGCTGCTGACGGTCCAGGTGCTTGAGCCCTGCCCCCACGTGGAGACCTGGATGGCCTCAGCTGGCCATTTGGGAATGAACCAGAAGATGGAAGGTAACTCTCTCTCTGTTGCTCCGCACGGTAGGTGGAGGAGCTGACCCAGCCTGGCTCCCGGGCAGGGACAGGATGAGACCCAGGTGACTGACAGGCAGAACCAGGGGAGGGCACAGCTGTCACTGCGTGTCCAGTGCAACAGTCTTGACCACGCCCAGAGAACAGACTGGAGCAGGGGTCAACGGACGACACCTCACAGCACTGACTGCAACAGCTCACGCCCGCTCGTCTGCGTCTGTCCTTCCACACTACCAGAAGACTCGGCAGCTGACCAGAGACCCCACGTGGCCCACGGGCCAACCCATCTACCGTCCACGCCTCTCCAGACTCTGCTCAAAAACCATTTAAAAACCATTTTTAAAAAATGTTTCTTTATTTCTGTATACTTGAAAGGCAGCAGGACAGAGAGAGGGAGAAGAGTTCCCTGGCCTGGCTCACTCCCCACACGCCTGCCCGGGAGTGCCCACCTGGGAGTGCCCGCCTGCCCGGGAGTGCCCACCTGGGAGTGCCCACCTGGGAGTGCCCGCCTGGGAGTGCCCGCCTGGGAGTGCCCACCTGGGAGTGCCCACCTGCCCGGGAGTGCCCACCTGGGAGTGCCCGCCTGCCCGGGAGTGCTCACCTGGGAGTGCCCGCCTGCCCGGGAGTGCTCACCTGGGAGTGCCCACCTGCCCGGGAGCGCCCGCCTGCCTGGCTCACTCCCCACACGCCTGCCCGGGAGTGCTCACCTGCCTGGGAGTGCTCACCTGCCCGGGAGTGCCCGCCTGGGAGTGCCCGCCTGCCCGGGAGTGCTCACCTGCCCGGGAGTGCCCGCCTGCCCGGGAGTGCTCACCTGGGAGTGCCCGCCTGCCCGGGAGTGCTCACCTGCCTGGCTCACTCCCCACACGCCTGCCTGGGAGTGCCTGCCTGCCCGGGAGTGCCCACCCCGGAGCCTCCCTCCCTCACTCGGCACCCCTTCTCCTGACCTCTCACGGAGCTGCTCAACCCAACAACGAGGAGAAGCAGAGACGTACTGACCTGGTTCAGCTCTCGGGCCCAGGCCTTTCGCTCTGAGTCTTGAGTGAATAAACTCCTCCTTCTCCTGAAAGAAGATGGCCGTCAGAATCGCTCTGTGCTCCGCCCCTCTGCTCCAGGGAAGGCGGGCGGCATCCTGAGAAATGGTCCCTCTCAAGACCCGTGTTAGCTTCCTGCTTGGCCCAGGGGCTGGAACGGGAGGCCCAGGATCTGGAATGGGAGGCCCAGGATCTGGAATGGGAGGCCCAGGGGCTGGAATGGGAGGCCCAGGGGCTGGAACGGGAGGCCCAGGGGCTGGAATGGGAGGCCCAGGGGCTGGAATGGGAGGCCCAGGATCTGGAATGGGAGGCCCAGGGGCTGGAACGGGAGGCCCAGGGGCTGGAACGGGAGGCCCAGGGGCTGGAATGGGAGACCCAGGGGCTGGAATGGGAGGCCCAGGGGCTGGAACGGGAGGCCCAGGATCTGGAATGGGAGGCCCAGGGGCTGGAACGGGAGGCCCAGGGGCTGGAATGGGAGGCCCAGGGGCCGGCGCGGTGGCGACAGGTCGAGCGCACCAGTCTGTGTCCCGGCTGCTCCACTTCCCATCCAGCTCCCTGCTGGTGCACCTGGGAAGGCAGCGAGGATGACCCAGGTCCTTGGGCCCCTGCGCCCACGTGGGAGACCAGAGGAAGCCCCTGGCTCCTGGCCTCAGCCTGGCCTGGCCCCGGCTGTTGCAACCATCTGGGGAGTGAACCAGTGGATGGAAGATGTCTCTGTCTGTCTCTCCCTCTCTGTTAACTTGACTTCAAATAAATTAACTTAAAAAAAAAAAAAAAAGCAAATGAGATGTGCAGTAAACTTTGGGGGTCCCGTTCACAAATGTACAGACTAAAATGCACCCGGAGGGATAAAGCTTAATTATTCCCTTCCACAGTTCATCCAGGAGGAGGCAGCACCGCCCTGGGGGCCCCGATCTGTGCCTCCAGGCGCCCCCACGCTCGTCAACAGTGACGCAGGGGGCGGAGGCTGAGGGAGCGCGCGGCTCTGGCGCCCCCGCGTGGCCACCTGTGCTATTCTTTCCCTGCCGACTCAGACCCCAGCTCACCTTAGCGAAAGTCAAGTTCTGAGCCGCCCAGAACTGCTGGTTCCACTCTTGTGTTTCCTGTCTCAACTCCCGGAGCCTCCGCTCCAGCGGCGACTCGTTTTCCGGGATGTAGAAGTGAACAGGTCGCAGGTTTGAGTACCTGTCTGGGGGTCCGATCCAGTCATGGCAAGACTTCCTCGGAGGGCAGAACCCGGAGGCCTTCAACAAAAGGAACGGGATTAACACACAAACAAGCACACCCTTGTCGCTCCAAAGGTCAGTCTGGACTTAACAGAGGTCCTCACTACCCTCCTCGTTCTCATCTCTCACTTACCTCTCGGCAGGGCAGGCAGACCGCACAGCTGCACTGTGCCGCGGCGTCCCCCATCGCAATGCGGTCCGAGCCCGATACCCCGCCCCATCCCTGCTGTTGACAGAGAAGCATAGAAGACACCCCAAGAGCTCGGGACCCTCCACCCACACGGAGACCCAGACGGAGTTCCGGCCCGAACCCTGGCGTTGTGGCCATGTGGGGAATCAAGCGGCACATGGTAGAGCTCTCTCTGTGTGTCGCTCTGCCTTTCAAGTAGAAGAAAATAAATATGTAAAAAAGTGGTCAGTGGGTAAAGCTGCTGCTTGCAGTGCCGGCATCCCACATGGGCGCCAGTTCAAGTCCCGGCTGCTCCACTTCCAATCCAGCTCTCTGCTGTGGCCTGGGAAAGCAGTGGAAGATGGCCCAAGTGCATGGGCCCCTGCACCCATGTGGGAGACCTGGATGAAGCCCCTGGCTCCTGGCTTCGGCCTGGCACAGCCGTGGTCATTGCGGCCATTTGGGGAGTGCGCCTCCAGGACAAGGGGCAACGACTATGCACATATTCCCATCAACACCTGCTTGCCGGGCAGGCATTTGGCACAGTGGGTGAGGCACGCTTGGGAGGGCCACATCCCACATTGGTTCGAGTCCTGGTTTGCTTCTGCTTCCATCTCCCTGCTGGTGTGCACCCTGGCCAAGGCACTGGGGTCTCTGCCACCAGGCGGGACTCCGGGGCTGAGCCGCAGCCTCCCCGCCCCAGCCCTGGCTGCCGAGGGCACTTGGAGAGTCCATCAAGTGGGAGCTCTTCCTCTGCTCCTCTCTTGGGGAAAGAAAGGCCCATTTATTTGAACGGCGGAGAGACAGAGATCTTCCATGTAAAGTGAGTGTCCCGACAGCCTTCACAGCCAGGACTTCCGCTGCCTTCCAGGCACAAAGCAAGAAGCTGGATCAGAAGCGGCACCGGCACCGGATTTGGGACGTCCGTGTTTCCAGCAGAAGCCTACCCTCTACTCCACAACACTGGCCCCCTCTGTGTTTCAAATAAAATGAAAACAAATAAATAAAAATTTAAAGGGGGCCGGCGCTGTGGCGTAGCGGGTAAAGCCGCCGCCTGCAGTGCCGGCATCCCCTGTGGGCGCCAGTGTGAGTCCCAGCTGTATCCTGGGAAGGCAGTGGAGGATGACCAAGTGCTCGGGCCCTGCACCCACGCGGGAGACCCGGAAGAAGCTCCTGGCTCCTGGCTTCGGCCTGGCCCAGCGCCGGCCATTGAGGCCATCTGTGGAGTGAACCAGCAGACCTCTCTGTCTCTCCCTCTCTCTTACTCTTTCAAATACAAATAAATAAATCTTTAAAAAAAGAAGTGCCTTTGCGGACAACCACCAGAATCTGTTAGCAGCAGTCCCTCCCCTGGGCAGCGGGAACACAGGCGTGTCCTCTCCACAGGCGCTCTGGGTGCACCAGCAGTCAGAAACGCACTTTGCTACTCAGAGCCTGCACGCTCTGTGGCTGTTTATAGAGCATCTGGAAGACAGGCGCCGGGGCAGGGACACTACTGCACAGCAAGCTGGGAGTGAAGCGGCTCTGCACCCTGACTTGTGGCGCAGGCGCAGCGTCTGGCCTTCAGAACAGAGGGTCAGCTGAACCATCAAACACCAGGCTGTCAACAGAACAACGTGAACATTAGGGAAGAAAAAAACGAAATGCACTCAGCTCGGAAATCTCTACGGTCGTGGCTGCCACCACGACCACGACCACGACCGAGACTTCCCACGGGCCCTGCCAGGAAGCAGCTCGCAAGCCCGCAGCCAAGAGGGGCGGCGTGGCCGGTGCAGGGTGGTGGCGCCCAGGGAGAGCCAGGCAGACCACAGAGGATCCTCGGGGACCTCAGGTCCTCCTGGGTGCTGACTGCAGATTTACACATCTCTCAAATTCAGCGTAGTTTTTCACACTTACAATGGACACACTCATTTTACTGTATATAAGCTATTTTTAAATGTATTTTAAATTTTTTCTAAATTAATTAATTTACTTGAAAGGTAAAAAGAGGGGGCCGGTTTGAGTCTCAGCTGCTCCTCTTCCAGTCCAGCTCTCTGCTGTGGCCTGGGAAAGCAGTAGAAGACGGCCCAAGTGCGTGGGCCCCTGCACCCACGTGGGAGACCTGGAAGAAGCTCCCGGCTCCTGGCTTCAGATCGGCGCAGCTCTGGTCGCTGCAGCCATTTGGGGAGTTGAACCAACGGCTGGAAAACAGCCCCCTCTGCCTCTCTACAGCTCTGCCTTTTAAATAAATAAATAAATCTTAATGTGGGGGGGGCAGCACCAGGTGCTAGTCCTGGTCGGGGCGCCAGATTCTGTCCCGGTTGCCCCTCTTCCAGTCCAGCTCTCTGCTGTGGCCCGGGAGGGCAGTGGAGGATGGCCCAAGTGCCTGCACCCGCATGGGAGACCAGGAAGGGGCCCCTGGCTCCTGGCTTTGGATCAGCACAGTACCGGCCATTGCGGCCATTTGGGGAGTGAACCAATGGGAGGAAGCCCTTTCTCTCTGTCTCTCTCTCTCTCTCTCACTGTCTATAACTCTACCTCTCAAATAAAAGAAAAGAAAAGAAAAGAAAAAAAAAGAAAAGAAAAAGAAAAAAGAAAAGGCAGAGAGATCTTCCAGGGCTGGTGTTGTGCTGCAGTGGGTAAAGCCACCACCTGTGACACCTGCATCCCACAAGGGCACCAGTTCAAGTCCCAGCTGCTCCACTTCTGATCCAGCTCCCTGCTAGTGGCCTGGGAAAGCAGCAGAAAATGGCCCAAGTCCTTGGGCCCTGCACCCACGTGGGAGACCCGGAGGAGGCTCCTGGCTCCTGGCTTCTGATCAACGCAGCTCCGGTCGTTGCAGCCAATTGGAGAGTGAACCAGCGGATAGAAGACCTTTCTCTCTCTCTCTGCCTCTGCCTCTCCTCTCTCTGTGTGACTCTTTCAAATAAAATAAATAAATCTTTAAAAAAAAGAAACTCCATTTAATCCAAGAGAAAAATAAAATAAAACAAAGAAATGAACATCTGCTCGGCAGCTGGAAGGCACCTCCTCCAGGAGGCCTCCGAAGCTCGCCGCAGCGTTACGGGCCGCACCTCCTAGCCGCCGAGAAATGCAGGTCTCGCGACATCTAACACAGACCAGCTGCTGCCCACCCGATGCCCACTGATGAATTCATCTGCAAAGGCAGAGACAGTAGTCTCAGAAACTGACACAGCTGACCAGGCGGGCTGACAGTGACCACAGGCTACAGAAGGGAGAGGAGCCACGGGCAGCAGGGGACGGGGTTGGGTCACTCTAAGAAAGGGCGTGGAGAGCTTAAAGTTCATCAGCGCCATCCAGGTCTACGCCGTCCCCAGCTCGAGTCTGGTGGTCTCGCAGGTCCCTGGACCCCACCCTGACAGTCACCTAAAGACCAAGAGAAGGCCGGCAGGGGCGGGGGGTGGGGCAGCCGTCAGCTCTCCCTCTGACAGCTCCACACCGAGCCGGCCTCTCTCCAAAGCAGCCCAGTGAGTCTGGGCCACAATGTCCCCAAACCTTTCAATTCCAAGCGCTCTAAAAATAGGGATTTCAAGGGTGCCAGGAGTGAGCAGTAGTGCGCACGCTGGGGCAGCCCGACGGGGCGGCGCCCGGCCACTTCCTGTGGCGCAGGCCCAGTTTTATCGTGTGGCCACAGGGACGTGGGTCACACACAGAGCTGCTGCGCGGTCACCTCACAGCCCTGCCCTCAGCTAGTAGAGCGCCTGGGGCCTGCGCTCAGCTCCGGAAGGCACCACGCAGAGCCGAGCCAGCGCCGTGACTCAGCAGAGCCGGCAGGCGGTGACCGCGCCAGACACGCAGAGTGAAAGAATCTTAACAGATGAGGTCAAGGAAGAGTCCTGCCTTTCTCCTGGAAAGGCAGAGAGAGAGAGAGAGAGAGAGAGAGAGAGAGAGAGAGAGAGAGAGAGAGAGAGAAGGAGAGGGAGGGAGAGAGGGAGGGAGGGAGAGAGGGAGAGAGGGAGGGAGAGAGGGAGGGAGGGAGGGAGAGAAGGAGAGAGGGAGGGAGGGAGATCTTCCATCTGCGAGGGCAGGGGTAGGCCAGGCTGAAGTCAGGGGGCCAGAACCTGACCCCATCTGGGCGCAGGAGCCCCGGCACTTGAGCTGGAAGTGGAGCCGGACACTAACCGACACCCTGTGCCACGAGATGCGGTGTCCCAAGCACAGCCTCTGACCATCGTGCCAAACACCCTCAAGTTAGAGTTTTGGTAAAAAAACAAACACAAAACCCGACAGAAAATGCCCCTCGCCGTCCAGATGAGCTGCAGACCAGTGAGAGTTACCACGCCATTCAGAGACTGGACGAGGGCCTAGGGAGGGAGGGCTGCCTCTCTGCCTGCAGCCAGGGGCGGCCAAGGCCGACAGCGGTCAGGAAGGTGCCAGCCGTTAGCAGGGAGCTGGACCGGAGGCGGAGCAACCGGAACTTGAAACAGCGCCCATGAGATGTTGGCCTCACAGGCAGTGGCTTAACCCGCTGCACCACAACGCCAGCCCCCCTAAAAAGGTTTTATTCCCCCAAAGATATTTACGGAATGATAGAACATTCAAGATCACCACGTCAATGCAGTCTTTAGACTTTCCTATCTGTAGGTCCTCTAGAAGCAAATCTGTGCCCCTGTGTTTGGAGACGCCGGAAGGAAACCTTCCTAGACCGGCGGCGCGAGCGCTTCCTGAGCGAGGCTGTCCCAGCTCGGCCGTCTCCAGGCTTCTGCTCTTCACCAACCAGGCCTCCAGAGGGCTGCTCGGTTACACCTTCACCCGGTGTCGCCCACACAGCCACGAAACCCGGTCCTCATGGCTGGCCCCGCCCCAGGTGACCTCCCGGGGATGCGGTGGGCGCTCCCACTTCTTCCCCCACAATTCTGGGACTAGACTCCAGGTGTCTCCTGCCCCCTCCCGTCCAGGGCTGCCTAGACTCCAGGTGTCTCCTGTGTCCCCCTCCCCCGTCCCTGCTCCCCCACCCTGAGGGGCCTTGCCTGGCTCCTGGCGTCCGCCCCCACCCTCCCCAAGCCTCGGAAGCCCCTCAGCAGGCCTCAGGCGCAGCCCCGGGCCCTCCGGGCTCTCGCTCAGCCCCAGGTGAGGGGCCCCCCAGCTGTGGCCCCTTGCCCACAGCGGCTTCTCCCGCAGGCCCATGGGTCCCGGGGGCCCCTCCCTCTTCTCAGTGGCACCAAGCAGCTGGGGGAATGGAGTCCCTCCCATGGACTCTCCCCTGGCAGGGCTTAACTTACAGACCATGTCGTGGTGTCATCTACGTTACACAGGGTTGGCGACAATGGAAACACCGCCAGGACAGCCAGCCATTTTTTTTTTTTTTTTTTTTTTTTTTTGACAGGCAGAGTTAGAGAGAGAGAGTCAGAGAGAAAGGTCTTCCTTCTGCTGGTTCACTCCCCAAATGGCCGCAACGGCCGGAGCTGTGCCGATCTGAAGCTAGGAGCCAGGAGCTTCCTCCTGGTCTCCTATGTGGGTGCAGGACCCAAGCACTTGGGCCATCCTCCACTGCCTTTCCGGGCCACAGCAGAGAGCTGGACTGGAAGAGGAGTAACCGGGACAGAATCTGGCGCCCCGACCGGGACTAGAACCCGGTGTGCTGGCGCCACAGGCGGAGGATTAGCCAAGTGAGCCGTGGCGCTGGCCAAGCCAGCCATCTTTACAGATGAAAATATACATTCATTCATTCATAGGGAGGGGGAAAGAGATTTTTCATCCACTGGTTCCCTCCAGATGGCTCCAACAGCCAGACTGAAGCCAGGAGCTTCACCTGGGGCCTTCCCACTTGCGTGGCAGGGACCAAGCACCTGGGCCGTCTTCTGCTGCTTTCCCAGGCAAAATAGCAGGGCGCTGGACCGGAAGTGGGGCAGCCAGGACTCGAACCAGCACCCCATGGGATGCCGGCACTGCAGGCGGTGTCGCTCCCCGCCCAGCAGTGCTGAGCGAGCTGATGGCTGGGGCTGGGTGCCCTGAACGGCTGGCTCTGGAGCCTGTCCAGGACTTCCCTGTGAACTCCGAGCAGCCGGGAGAGGGGACCCCGGTCCTCCTGAGGCCCCGGTGCCAGTGGACAGGTCAGCGACGCAAGGCAGCCTTGGCCAGCTGCTGGAGTAGGGCAGAGGGAGCTGGCGCAGAGGTCCAGACACAGCTGGGCCTGGGCAGCCGCTGCTGCTGGGGGTGGGGCCCACGGCCAGGCTTAGTGAAACCGGCACTGCCCCGCACCCTCCCCACGTCCCGCAGGCCTTTCCTGCCGCAGACCCAGACGCCTTCCCGCCTCTCACTGTCAGTTCTGTCTGGCGCCTGGGCAGTCTCAGTGCAACGTCACAGCTGAGCGGAGAGCAGCACAGCCCAGCTGGGGCCTGCAGCCACACCAGCCCTGTGCTGCAGGGGGCTAGGCCGCTGCTCCTGACGTCAGCATCCAGCGGGGTTCAAGTCCCCGCTGCTCTGATGACTGAGCAGGCGGCACGTGACTGACGGCCCGAGTGCCCAGCCCGACCCCTCGCAGGAGCGCCGGGCGCGGTTTCAGGCTCCTGGGCAGTCCTGGCCCAGCCCTGGTTGCTCTCGCTCGCTCGCTCGCGCTCTGTCACTGTCTTCCAAATTAAAAAAAAAAAAAAAAAACTATTGGTGCTAAGCAACTGAATCCTTTTAGGCAGGATTGTAATACCTGATCTTCAGTATTTTATTCATCAGCCTAGAGTCAATATAATCTCCAGTGTTCCACAGAAAAGCCAGCCGAACAGTCCCATGGCTGTCTTGGAGCTGGTCCCCAGAGCAGCCCCGCCCACCCCGGCCTTCCCTGCTTCCCCACTGGCCGGGCCTGAGATTCTGGGCCCGCCCCGTCCAGGCCCCGCCCTGGGAATGCTCCGAGCCATCCCAGCCTGCGCAACAAGAAGCTCACGTTCCCACATCCAGGAGCCACCGAGGGAAGAACCTGCGCTGTTGCATGGTGGGTGAGGACACCGCCTGCAGCGCCAACATCCCACATGGGCGCCGGTTCGTGTCCCGGCTGCTCCACTTCTGATCCAGCTCCCTGCTAATGGTCGGGGGAAAGCAGCGGAGGTGGGCCCCAGTGTTTGGGTCCCTGCACCCACGTGGGAGACCTAGCGCCAGGCTAGCCCAGCTCCGGCCACTGTGGCCCTTTGGGGAGTAAACCAACAGACAGATCTCTCTAACTCTGCCTTCCAAATAAAATAAGTAAATCTTAAACGAAAAGAAACTGACCCACAGATGCCCCCACGTGGCCTTTGCGGCCCTCGCTCTGGCCCTGTGAGCAGGCACTTCCACGTCACCAGCAGCTGCGCCCTGGGAGAACACCGCTTTGTAAGAGGAAAGTCCCGTCAGGGGGCACAGTGCCGGAACGCCGCCCGGCGCCCTGAAACCTGGCTTCCCCGGGCCCTGGCAAGCCCGAGCCTGACACTCCCCGGGAGCCGCCTGGCCGGCCCGCGCGCATCTCAGAGGAAGGGTCAAGCCCCGTCTCGCCTGTCGGGGGCGGGAGCCGAATCCTTCTGCCTCCGTAACCGTGCGGTGCCAGGCCGGGCACCTCCTCCTGGAAGTGCCCTGCTCAACCCAGCGACCGTGGGCAAAGCAACGGGGAAGGAAAGAGGGGCAGCGTTCCTGCCAGGCCAGGGCCGGGGCCCACGCCTCCACCATGCCCACTCCACAGACGCCACACCACACCCTCAGCTCACCGAGAGGGCAGCCCACGCCGAGCGCCGAGCGGGCTTCCCACTCGGAAACCAACAGGGAGTCTCCTGGTTTCGGAAGGGCATCCCACGGACGCCATCACCCTGCTAAGGACGCACCTCTCCCTTCCCGCCCCCGTGGCCAGAGCCACGGCCTTGCCACCTGGCAGCGCCGGCACAGAGTCCTGGGCTTGTCCGGCTCCACTGCTCTCAAGCCAGGCTGCCCGCCGGCCGTGGGCCAGTCCAGCGCTGCGAGCGTCACACTTTCCCTGGGAGGCCTCGGGATGAGTGGACTTGGCACCAGCATTTGTAGTTGAAGATTTATTTATTTACTATTTAGAAGGCAGAGTGACAGAGAGAGAGGCAGGGGCCGGCACTGTGGCGCCGGCATCCCGAATGGGCGCCGGTTCTAGTCCCGGCTGCTCCTCTTCCAGTCCAGCTCTCTGCTATGACCTGGGAAAGCAGAAGAAGGTGGCCCAAACCCTTGGGCCTCTGCACCCACATGGGAGACCTGGAGGAAGTACCTGGCTCCTGGCTTCAGATCAGATCAGATCAGCTCCGGCCGCTGTGGCCAAATGGGCAGTGAGCCAGCAGATGGAAGCCCCCCCGCCCCCCCGTCTGTAACTCTACCTGTCAAATAAATAACTAAAATCTCACGTCCCAGATGCGGGGCTGAGACAGGAGGCAGGAGCTCCGTCGTGGTCTCCCACATGGTGGCACCTGGGCCCTCGCCCACGGCCCTCCCAGACGCACTGGCAGGAAGCTGAGTCGGAGGCAGAGCGGCCGGGTCTCAGAGCGGCACTGTGGCAGGGGACGCTGATCTGGCGGCATCACAACACCAGCCCTGGCACCAGCACCACTGCAGGCAGCGGGGACGCACGCGGCGCCACGCGGCCCCACCGGGCGGGACCTGTGCGTGGCGGTGTCCACGGGGCCACGGGGCGAGCCTGTGCAGGAAGCACCAGCACCACCACACACGACTCCACCGCTGCTTCAGCAACACAGTTCACAGTCAAAAAGCACAAGAGGGGCCGCTGTCGCGGCGTAACAGGTGCCAGCACCCCGTACCGGCACAGGTTCAAGTCCTGGCTGCTCCACTTCCCATCCAGCCCCTGCTAACGCTCCTGGGGAAGCAGCAGAGGACGGCCCAGCCCTTGGGCCCCTGCCACGCGCATGGAGACCCAGGTGGAGCTCCTGGCTCCTGGGTTCACCCTGGCCCAGCCCTGACCACAGCAGCTGTCTGGGCAGTGACCAGCAGCAGATCTCTCTCTCTCTGTCTCTAACTGCCTTTCAAATAAATAATGTATGCATGCCTTAAAGATCCTGCAGGTAAGCTACGAGACCCCCGGCGCACACCACCCAGGACGCGGTCTGGGAGGGGCAGGGTGCGGGGACACTGGGCAGCTGAGGTTTCGCTGGGCTGGGGTGAGAGCGACGCCTGACAGGAGTTCTGCAGTGCTTCTGTTAGGAGCCAGGGGCCAGAGAGGGAATGCAGCGCGCGGGACGGACTCAGGGGCGGAACAGAGAACGAAGGAGAGACACGGACACCAGAGAGACGCGGACACGAGGGAGAGATGCAGACACGTGGGAGACGTGGACACGAGGGAGAGACGTGGACACGAGGGAGAGACGTGTGTCGCTCCCCCTCTTCGTGGAGGAACGACACAGGACCCTGCGCTGTTCTTTTTGTCTGCTCGGCCCTCCCCGGGTTTGCTGCTGGTTCTTCCCGGGTTGGCTACTATCCCTTCCACCTCCGTGGAAGGGCGGTTCCCCCTGGCCGCATTCCCCACTTCCGCAGGGGAGCGGCACACCGCCGGCCGGCTCTCTGGGGGCTGCACGGGTTCCCTTAGATGTTCCCCATAGATGTTCCCCGGTGCATGCCGTCTCTCTCCTCCTTTATAGTCCTCTTCCGCCAATCCTAACTCGGCTGAGTACGCTGCTCTCCAATCAGGAGCAAGTCCTACAGTTAATTGGTTGAACTGGAGGCAGCTGTGCGGAAGCTGTTTACTTCTCTCCCAGCGCCATATTGTGGGAGAGCAGATGCATAGAATAAGTCTTAATTCGAGCAACTTAGTCTAGTCCGGTTTGCTCCCCACAACGTGGACACGAGGGAGAGATGCGGACACGTGGGAGAGACAGACACGTGGGAGACGCGGACACGAGGGAGAGACGGATACGAGGGAGAGACGTGGACACGAGGGAGAGACGTGGACACGAGGGAGAGACGCGGACACGAGGGAGAGACGCGGACACGTGGGAGAGACGCGGACACGAGGGAGAGACAGACACGTGGGAGACGCGGACACGAGGGAGAGACGGATACGAGGGAGAGATGCGGACACGTGGGAGACACGGACACGAGGGAGAGATGCGGACACGTGGGAGAGACACGGACACGAGGGAGAGATGCGGACACGTGGGAGAGACGCGGACACGAGGGAGACGCGGACACGAGGGAGAGACGTGGACACGAGGGAGAGATGCGGACACGAGGGAGACGTGGACACGTGGGAGAGACGTGGACACGTGGGGGAGACGTGGACACGTGGGAGAGACGTGGACACGTGGGAGAGATGTGGACACATAGGAGAGACGTACTCACCCTGGAAGGCGCCCTCGGGAACACCCGACCTGGGGCGCCCGCAGCAGGCCCAGCACACACGACTGCCCTGGGCAGCAGCGGCTCCCCAGCTCCCTCCAACACCCGGCAGCACGGACACTCGGACCCCGAGCACACGACGGGGGTCACAATGCTGGACGCGGCCAAGCGGCTCCGGCTCTGCCCTGCCTCTTCCGGAGAGCACCGGACCACACGGCCCCAGACGGCCCTGGACCACACGGCCCTGCACGCCACTGGACCACGCGGGCCCGCACAGGACCAGACCACACAGCCCCAGACGGCCCCGGACCACACAGCCCCAGACGGCCCTGGACCACACGGCCCTGCACGCCACTGGATCACACGGGCCCGCACAGACCGGACCACACAGCCCCGCACAGCCCCTGACCACACGGCCCGCACAGACCGGACCACACAGCCCCGCACAGCCCCTGACCACACGGCCCGCACAGACCGGACCACACGGCCCGCACAGCCCCTGACCACACGGCCCTGCACGCCACTGGACCACACAGTCCCAGACGGCCCCGGACCACACGGCCCTGCACAGCCCCTGACCACACGGCCCTGCACACCCCCAGACCACACGGCCCTGCACAGCCCCTGACCACACGGCCCGCACAGCCCCTGACCACACGGCCCGCACAGGACCTGACCACACGGCCCGCACAGCCCCTGCGCGGGTCCGGTTCTCCAGCAAGCAGCCTGCGGGACCTGTTGCGGCGCTGGCACCGGCGCCCAAACCGGCCGCGGAAACGCCGCACCCCGCGCAACCCTCTCGTTGCTACACGGCTGCCCCCGCCAGCGCCTTTCAGAGGCTGAATCCTCCCCAGACACCCGCGAGCCTGGTGGGTGTGCGCGCGTGGGAGCGGAAGTCGGGGCGGCGGCCGCACGAAAACCCGCAGGCCCAAAGTGTCGCAACGGCCAGCGGGCTCCCTCTCGTCGCTCCGTAACTACTGCCGGGCCCGGCTCCGCGCCGGCCTCACCGCCCCTCTCGTCGCTCCGTAACCACTGCCGGGCCCGGCTCCGCGCCGGCCTCACCGCCCCGGCCCGCCAGCGCCTGAGGACAAGCACGGCCGGCCGCACGCCGCGGCCGCAGCCACTCGCCGAGCCCCTCCGGGCGCTTCTGGAACTCGCCCTCGGGCAAACACCAGGTCCGTGCACCGCGGCGGTGGGCGCCAGACCGGGGGCGGCCCGGCAGCCCCGGCAGCGCGCTTACCCCGCTCGGCGCTGCTTCCCTGCGCTCCGCACCGCGCTCCGGGGCCCGCCGCCCGCCGCCGCCCGCGAAGGCCCGGCAGAGGGGCGGGACGAGGGTCCGCGGCGCCCGCCGCACCGCCGCCATGGGGCCGCGCCCACCTTGCTCCCGCGGCACCCGGCGGCGTTCGCGACGGCGAGCGGGGCTGCCTTACGGCAGGGTCGCAAAGCCGGCGGGCGCGCCGCGGAGTGGCCGACCGCGCGCTTTTCCCGCGGTGACACGGCTCGCGGAGGGGGTCTGTGGGGACGGGGCGGCGCGGAGGAGGCCTGCCGGGACCGGGCAGCGCGGGCGAACGCCGGCGACAGTTCCCCGATCCCTGTCGTCCCAGAGGCCCGGGGCGCGGCTCGAGGTGAGGCGCGGGCGCGGAGCCGTCTTTTCCCAGGGCTTGGGGGTGGTCGGCCCCGGACGGGGGCGCCGCGGGCTCTGCGGAAGTCGTGGGCGGCAGCGGAGCGCGTGATGGCGCGGGTGAGTGGTGCGGGGGCGCCGGCGATCGCGTCTGCTCTCTCCGCGCGCGCGCCGGCGCGGGGCTCCGCCGGGCCACCCTGCTCCCCCCCACGGGCTCCCACGCGGCCGCGCCTGGCCGGGTTCCCCGCCGGGCTGGGCCCCGCTCCGCGCCCCTCCCGCCCGTCCTCGCGGGGCGCCGGGCCTCGGCCTCCCCCGCGCGCCCATTGTGAGGTCAGGGCCGGCGGCGAGCCGGGGGCCCGGGGCCGAGACGCCCGGAGCGGCCGCTGCGGCCAGTAGCTGCCGCCGCCGCCGGCCCCTTCACCGGCCGCCCCGTCCAGACCGAGCCGGGGGGCTGAAGGGGATGCCGCTAGGGGCCCGGCCCCGCCGCCGCACCCGGTGAAGGGCTGATCTTCCACCTCGCCGCCGCGCCTCCGGGGAGCCGGGACCTCCGCCGGGTAAAGTGCGAGAGGGAGGGAGGCCCGGGCCCGCGGCGGCGCCCGCGGTCCCTCGTGGGAGGCAGTGCAGGCAGAGTGGGCGCTGTCCCGGGCGGGGAGCCCCGGCGGAGCTTGGGGCCCCGTCGCGGGGCCTGTCCCGCATTCTGCTGGCCCGGGCGTGCCCTGCGGGCTGTTCTGTGCCGCGGGCCGGGCGGCCCCTCGGGCTGGCCCTGGGCCTGCCGGCCGGGGTCCGCGGACCTGCCGGCGGCCGCTCTGAATGAGCTCTCTTGTCGCCCCGCAGCGCTCGTGAGCCCAGGCAGCGGAGCATGGACATGGGAAACCAGCACCCGGCCATCAGCAGGCTGCAGGAGATCCAGCGGGAGGTGAAGGCCGTGGAGCCGCAGGTGCTGGGCTTCAGCGGGCTGGCGGACGACAAGGCCTACCGGAGGCTGGAGCGCATGCTCACGCGGCAGCTGTTCGAGATCGACTCCGTGGACACCGAGGGCAGGGGGGACGTCCAGCAGGCGCGGAAGCGGGCGGCGCAGGAGACGGAGCGGCTGCTCAAGGAGCTGGAGCAGAACGCCAGCCACCCGCGCCGCCTGGAGATCCGGAACCTGTTCCGCGAGGCGCAGGCGCTGGCGCAGGACGAGATCGCGCCCTTGCACAGCGGGGGAGGCTGCGCCGCGGACGAGGTGGAGGAGCGCCTGCAGGACATCGTGCTGCGGCTGACGCACGTCAAGACCGGCGGCAAGGTCTCGCTGCGCAAAGCCCGCTACCGCGCGCTGAGCAGGGTGTGCGCCGTGCAGGAGATCCTGGAGGACTGCCTGCGGAAGCAGCCGTCGCTGCCGCTGTCCGAGGACGCGCACCCGTGCGTCGCCAGGATCAACGCCGTGATGTGCACGGTGAGCAAGGCCCGCGGCACGGTGGTCGCGCTGCTGATGGGCGTGTGCGCCGACGAGACCTGCCGGCACCTGTCCTGCGTGCTCTCGGGGCTGCTGGCCGACCTGGACGCGCTGGACGTGGCCGGGCACCCGGACATCAGGAACTACCGGAGGGAGGTGGTGGAGGACATCCACAAGCTGCTCAAGTACCTGGAGCTGGAGGAGGAGGCGGACACGACCCGCGCCTTCGACCTGGGCCAGAACCAGTCCATCCTCGAGATAGAGAAGGTGCGCGCCAGGACGCGGGAGGTCAGGGCCGAGCTTCTGCGCGCGCAGAGCCCGGCCGAGCTGTACCTGAGCTCCAAGACGGAGCTGCAGGGCCTCATCGGGCAGCTGGACGAGGTGAGCCTGGAGAAGAACCCCTGCATCCGGGAGGCGCGCAGACGGGCGGTGATCGAGGTGCAGACGCTGGTCACCTACGTGGACCTGAAGGAGGCGCTGGAGAAGAGGAAGCAGAGCGTGGGCGCCGAGCACCCGTCCCACCAGGCCGTCTGGAGCGTCCTGGGGAACCTGTCGGAGATCCAGGGGGAGGTCCTGTCCTTCGACGGCAATCGCAGCGACAAGAACTACATCCGGCTGGAGGAGCTGCTCACCAAGCAGCTGCTGGCCCTGGACGCGGTCGACCCGCAGGGCGAGGAGAAGTGCAAGGCCGCGCGCAAGCAGGCCGTGAAGCTGGCGCAAAACATCCTCAGCTACCTGGACCTCAAGTCGGACGAGTGGGAGTACTGACCGCGAGTGGGCACCGGCCGCGAGGGGGCACCGGCCGCGAGTGGGCACCGGCCGCGAGGGGGCACTGGCTGCGAGTGGGGCACTGGCTGCGAGTGGGGCACCGGCGCGAGTGGGGCACTGAGCCCGCGAGTGGGCGCCCGCGAGTGGGAGCACTGAGCGGCGGGTGCGGAGCCCGCGCGGCGGCCCGGCGTGTTTTGCACTGCGTGAGACCTCCACATCTCGTGGCGCGCCCGCTCCCCAGCCGGGCTGTGGTTTGTACTTGCATATTTCAGTCTCAGTATTTGTAACTTGATGAAATTATATTCAGTACCTGCTGCTTTTGATGTCGCTAAGCAGCTGTCATTACAGGACGGCCCCTTCGTCCCCTCCCTCCCTCCCGGGCGGGCGCGAGGTCTGTGGCTGGTGTTCCCCGCTTTCCATCAGAAAGGGAAGTAGATGTAGTTCTTGTGATTGTAAGTGGGGGTGTGCACGTATTAATACGCAAATTTAAGCGTAAACTGGGCATGACTTCACGGAATACTGGAAGAATTATGAGAAGGGGGAAGTTTTGGTTCCACAGTGCAGTGGGGCACAGACCCCCCCACCCCCCACCCCGGGTTTGCGCTGAGGCCCCGCCCAGCCCAGGGGTGGGTGTGTCCTGCTCCGGTCTCTGTCTCTGAGAAGTTAACCCTCTGTGTGCCGCGTGATCATGAAGACACCCAGCAGCCTCGGAGAGGGGAGCGGAGCGCCGGCTGTCAGACGCCCTCGGCTGGGTTTGCTGTGGATCTGCACCCGAGGGCCCGGTGCCAGGAGGATGAGAACCCCGGGCCGGTCACAGGAGGCGGCGTCTGCTGCCCGGGGCCGCTCCGAGCCCACCGCCGGCAGGGAGAGGCTGCGCCCGGCACGCGGCAGGGCGGCCCTGTCCGCACTTCCCGAGGACCGCGTGTGCCCGTGCCCTGGCAGTGCCTTTCCCGGAGCGGCCCTGACGAGGGCACGGTGCCCCGAGTCGGCAGCCGGGCAGGAGGTGAGAGGTAGAGGAATAGGCTTAAGTGCCTGCGAGGAGCTGAGGTCGGCCCCAGAGGTGCGGCCCCTCCTGCTGCACACGCAGACCCTGTGTGCTGGGGCTGGAGCCCTGGCGCCTGCCGGTGCTCAGCGCAGTCCCTGGAGTGCTCATCTGGCCCGGCGCTGTGGGCACGTTAGCGTCAGCCTCTCCCCTCAGCGCCCGACGCTCTGACAGCTGACGTCTGGTTTCTGCGGCCGTGCGGCCGGCGCACTGGAGCGGTCCGCGTCGGCCCTGAGTGGCCGTCCAGCACGGACTGCGTCCCTTCCGAGCCTGTCTGTGCCACGGCTGCTGCCCACAACCAGCCCTCACGCACGGGGCCTGTGGCGCCCGAGCCCGTGGGAGCCGCCGTGTGCCCGAGCCGACGCCTGTACGCCCGGGGTGTGTTAGCTTTTCGCGCTTGTTTTACGTCGCTGGTTTTTATCTGGTTTCGGGGGTCTGTGTTCATTTTGTCTGCAAAGCTTGTACCACGCCGGTGTTTTCCCTGGGGAGGAGTGGCCGATCGCGGTGCGCTGGGTCCCCGCCCCTGTTAACCACGGGACCGTTGGTACCGATTAGCGCCCTTGGTGATCCACGCAATAAATCTCGGCTTCATGTTTGTAGTGGAGAGAGGCTGAGTCTGGTGTGTTCCCTCTGGCCCCGCCCGTCGTCACCTGACGTGTGTGACGTGGGAGGGTCCCTGTAGTGCCAGGCCGGCGGAGCGTGGCGGGTGGGCTCCTTGCTGCAGCTGGTGGCAGTGAGTGGGTCTCTGTCCCCTTGCCAACAGCTGGGGGCGGGGCTGTGGTCTGACACAGAAATTGACCTTTTTATAGAAAGAGGAAGAAACTCTGGGACATGGTTCTGGAAACTTCTGGGAGAGGAGTCTAGAGTTACCGAGTGCGGTCGGTCGCGGTGCCTGGGCCCCGCCTCTTGCAGAGCCCTGAGGAGGGCTCGGGGTCAGCCCCGCCTGGGCCCGGCAGCCTCGCTCCAGCTCTGGTGCCTGCGCGGCCAGGTCCACTCCCGTCAGCCGTTTGCTGACGCTCAGTCCGTTCCGTGGTGGCACCAACTTTTTTCTGTCCCGGCCTCTTCCTGCGGGTACCTCTGTCCCGGCCTCTTCCTGCGGGTACCTCTGTCGTCTGCCTGCTTCCAGCTCCCACGTGAGCCCGTGATGCAGCAGAGACAGCCTCTCTAGCCGTGCGGGCTTAGCCAGCCGAGAGTGGGTTGGAAAGAATACTCTGGAGGGGCTGGCGCCGTGCAGGGAGTTAAGCCGCCGCCTGACAGCAGCACCCGTGAGTGCCGGGTGGAGTCCCGGCTGCTCCACTCCAACCCAGCTCCCTGCGGAGGGCGGTGCAGCGCTCGGGGCCTGCCACCCACGTGGGAGACACTGATGGAGTTCCAGGCTCCCGGCTTTGGCCTGCACTGACCCTAGCCATTGTGGCCATCGGGGGAAAGAACCAGAGGATGGAAGGTGTCTCACTGTCTTTCCAACACCTCATGAACAGGACACTGCGGAGTATAGGTGTTTGGCTTAACGCTAGCAATGCCTGTGTTCCACATCAGAGCCCCTGGACTTGTTCTCAGCTCCGGACCCTGACTCCAGCTTCCTGCTACTGTGCACCTGGGAGGCAGTCGGTCCCTTGGGTCCCTGCCACCATGCGGGAGACCTAGACTGAGCTGGCTGTATTTTGGGGGGAACCAGCAGTTGGAACCTCATTTGTCCGCCTCTCAAAGAAAAGGTTACTTGGGAAGACCTTGGCACCTTCAGTAAGTCCTCTGCACTCAGAGGTGAGCACACGACCTTGGGTTCCTTAGACCAAGAAGCCCCCCTCTGCGTGCTTAAGGCAGGAGGGGGTGGGGAAGCCTGGGCGGGGCGGGGCTGGGCTGGGGGGGCGGGGACGGAGGACAGCACCCAGGGAGGCTGAGCCCCTGCTCGCTGGTCCACACATGCCGGGCCGTCCTGTTTGCGCTGCAGTGAGCTGACCCTGGTCGCCCCCCCACCCCCTGCCGAGCCTCTGCAGGTGTGGCAGGGGCGCGGTGAGGCCCGGGCAGGTGCTGGTGTTGAGTCGACTTGAGAGGTGGTTCTGAGACGGGATCACCTCCCCAGAGGCCTGCACGGCCACGTGGCGGGTAGGGCTCAGCATGTGCAGACGCGGGGCGCGGGCCCCCCCAGAGAGCCTCCTGCATCCGCGTGTGGCTGCCTGGGCCGCAGGGTTCACAGAAGCCCCCCACCCCCGTGAGCACACTGGCTGTGCAGCAGGAGCCCAGGCAGGCCAGGCCACTTGGGTTCAAGTCACTTTTGCCACTTTCACAGCTGGGGGGGGGGGCATTTGGCACAGCCTTTGAGATGTCACTCAGGATGCCCGAGTCCCAGACTGCAGTCCTGGGTTTGAGTCCCGGCCTCTGTGCCCAGCTTCCTGCCAGTGCCCACCTGGGAGGCAGCAGGTGCAGGTGCCACCCACAGGGGACTGGATGGAGTCCCTGGCCACTGGCTACAGTCTGACGCAGCCCCAGCTGTAGGCAGGCATTTGGGGGAGTGGAGCAGTGGAAGATCTCTGTCTCTGCTTTCAAGTGAAAATAAATAAAACTGAAGATTTAAAAGCAAAAGCTGGGGGGCCAGCGCCTGCGCTGCCAGCATCCCAGTTCCAGTCCCGGCTGCTCCTCTTCCCATCCAGCTCTCTGCTGTGGCCCGGGAGGGCAGTGGGAGGATGGCCCAAGGACCCTGCACCCAGGTGGGAGACCCGGAAGAAGCTCCTGGCTCCTGGCTTCAGATCAGTCCAACTCCGGCCATTGCGGCCATTTGGGGAGTGAACCAGCGGATGGAAGACTCACTCTCTCTCTCTCTCTCTCTCTCTTTCTCTCTTTCTCCTCTCTCTGCCTCTCTTCTCTCTGTGTAACTCTGACTTTCAAATAAATAAATAAATCTTTGAAAAAAATTTTGAAAAATAAAAAAAAATTTAATTATTAAAAAAAAGCTGGAAGAACTGCCCAGCTCCCTGAATCAGTTTATTCTGAAAAGTGGGTGAGGGCGTGGCCGGTGCACACACGCCCTCAGGAAGTGCTGCCGTGTGTCCCTTTGTTATTATTACTAATTCTTTTTTATTTGAGTTATAGACAGAGAAACAGAGAGAAAGGTCTTCCATCCGCTGGTTCACTCTCCAAATGGCTGCTACGGCCGGCGCTGCGCTGATCCGAAGCCAGGAGCCAGGTGCTTCTCCTGGTCTCCCATGGGGTGCAGGGCCCAAGCACTTGGGCCATCCTCCACTGCACTCCCGGGCCACAGCAGAGAGCTGGCCTGGAAGAGGGGAAACCGGCACTAGAACCTGGCACCCATATGGGATGCCGGCGCCGCAGGCGGAGGATTGACCAAGTGCGCCACGGCACCGGCCCCTGCTGTTACTAATTCTTTAGCACTTCCTCATCTGAAAGCAGAGTCAGCTTCCCTCCGCGGGTTCCCCCAGATGGGTTCCTTCAGGGCGGATTGGAATCCGAGCAGCCGCCTGCTCGCTGCCCTGGCAGAGAACGGGGCTTCTGGTAGGGGCGGGGAGGACAGCTGGAGTGTGGTGGGGCGGCCGGGGAGGGGCACCGAGGACACCCAGGGCCAGCGCTGGGCACCGGGTGCTGCTGTGACCTCTGCCCCCGTGGTGGCCCTCGAGGACCCCATCCAGGTCCTGCAGCCAGCCCTCCCCCGCCCCCCACCCTCGCATACACAGACCCCACGCCTTGGTCCCTGGACTGGTCCTCAAGGGCTCGGGGCACTCACCTTGCCCCTGGCTGTCCTGGGTCTGATGACTGCTGAGAGCTGGAACCGAGAGCAGGGCGTTGGCGTGGCGAGAGGTGGTGGCTGCCAGCCCCGAGGCTCGGGTCAGCAGCCTCCAGGAAGGGTGGTCGGGCCTGTGCTGGGGCCCTCCCTCCGCTCCGGTCCCTGACTCCTGGCAGCCCTTGGCTTTGGCTGTGGAGGACGGGGGTCGGGGGGCACTTGTGTAGCTGAACGAGAGGATGAGTTTGGGCACCTCATCTGCCTGTCTCGCCCCCACACGTGGCCCACGCCACTTTGCTGATGAGGCTTGCACGGGATGTGGTGGGCAGCGTCCAGCTTCCGGGCCCTGCCCAGCTGTGGCCGACCCTCCCCGAGATGTGCTCAGAGCTGCACAGGCTGTCCAGGCCCCAGGGGGAGGGGCAAGATAGAGAGCCCCGTCTCCCCGTGGACTTTCACTGGGCCAGGCTGCCCTATTCAGACAAGGCCGGTAGCTGGCGAGGTCCACCCCATGCCGGCTCGCCCTGCTGCCACCGACCTGGGACCTGACAACTGCATTTCGTCGCCATGGTTCTCGGTTTCCTATTTGCAAGGCGGGGTTGGTGCTGGTGGGCGGTTGGACTGGGGGTCAGGTGCACCAGATATTGGGACACCTGCCCCAAGGCCCCCAGTTTGCCCCTTGCCCGCCATTCCCACACAGCTGCTCCGTGCTTTGTCCCTGGCTCAGCGTGTGCCCAGTCCCTTCCCCAGGGAGCAGCAGCATGGGGGAGGGGTGTGCCCGGCCAGGTGAGAAGAAAAGCAGGCTGCAGGTGCACACTGTGGCCTCTGGGACTTCGTCCCCCCCAGCCAGGCCTGGGGGAGGAAGTGCCAGCAGGTGTCATGGCTGGCAGCAAGGGCTCAGCACTGCAGCCCAAGCAGGGACAGTGCCGTCACTCCTGGGCTGGGAGGAGAGGGCTCCGTGCCTACTTGTGGGCATAAGAGCCATGGCGGTCTGGCCAGGATCCCCAAGGCCCCTCTTCCATGAAGACCTGGTGCCTGGTCACAGGTGCACATGGACTCAGGGCCACCTGATGGCCGCCCGGGGGAAGACCTGCTCGTTCATGGTGTGCCTGGCCCAGCGCTGACTGGAGGAGGGCGAGGAGCCCAGGGGCTGTGAGAGCCACAGCCCAGCCGCCGAGCCCAGCTGCGGCAGCCTGCGCAGCACCCGCCTCTGCCCCAGCCGCTGCCCCAGCCCCTGACGCCTGGGCCACACGCCTCAGACACTGTTACAGACCCACTGGGACTTGGCTCCCCGACAGGCAGACGTTAAACCCCGCGTCTCATGTTCACACTGCAGGGCAGGCGTGTGCACAGCGCTGAGGACGCCAGTGAGACGCTGCACCCGCGCCGGAGTGCCTGGGTTTCGGTCACTGCAGGAGCCGGCTGGGGGGCTGGGGGCGGGATCCCCCCCACGGGTCCCTGCCAGGTGTGGGTCTGAGCCGCTCAGCCATGAGCAGCTGCCTACCTGGGGCGCAGGAAGGGCCCCCGAGGCTGCCGTCTTTAACTGAGCTGGGGCCTGCAGCAAGAGCCCCACCTGCCGGGTCGGGCCAGGAGAACGGTGGCCCTGGGTGACCCGTGGGACTTTGTGGGCATCTTAGGACTGGGCACTATGCCGAGTGCTCACCCTGGTGGCAGCAGTGGCCCCCTCGCTGGGAGAATGGGGCTGGGCAGGAGAGCCAGGGAAGGGGGCAGGAAGAGTGGAGAGGATTTGGGGGTCAGCGAGGGCAGCAGGGGCCTGGGGGCCTCTCAGGTTCCGGCCACAGGAGATGCGTGTGGCGGAACCCCTGGGCCTCGCTGAAGAGGTTTTCAGAGGTGCAAGGAGTTTCAGGGCCCAG